GCCACAGCCCTTGAATGCCTCTCAGAATTTGATGGTAAGACCCTATTTCTGAAGATAGGACATTCTTTGGACACAGAATTTGGAAAAATGGAGCTGGAACTGACCTGGAATGTACCTCCCCTGAAGGCTAGCTCTCATAGCTTTGGAAAGCACTACACAGGCTGGTAGTTGATGGAAAACATCAATTGATGGTCCAACCCCAACTTCAAGGGCTAAAAACCACATCAGTGATTAGCACAGTAAATGACACTTTTATCTTGGGGGTAATCAACACCTACCTAATTGGTCTTACAGTCCACTCTTTGGGAGGAAAATCCTGTGTGGTATGTAACCTAGCAAAATACACATTGCTGGAGAGGTTATAGATCTTAGGGAAAACCCCAAGGGTATCACATCCCTAGACAAATGTAATTTCTTACTATATGCAAAATATGGTCCTTAAACTTACAGACAAGCATCCCAGTCACCACCTATCAAAGAAGTTTCTTTTTCAACAAAGATTATTACAGAGCTCCACAACTGGTCATACACACAGATTGTCTCTGAATTGTCCAAGCCTAAGTGGCACATCTACCATGCAACCTAAGGCTCATGGAACATAGAACAAGGGATAAAGGGAACACTAATGCATCTTTCAATTCTCATCAATTAAGCTACCTTATGCAACAGAGGGTCAGGAACATAAAAGGTCACAAATGGCCAAAACATAAAGAATAAGTCTATAGAGTGTGGGTCATTGGACAGGACAACTACATTAAAATCCACCCACACAGGGCTCAGGGACTCTTTTGGAAGAGGGGGTGGAAAGATTTCAAGAACCAGGGAGGATGTGCTTGACTATATGGAAAAAAGTCCTTCAGGCTCCTGGGACCCTTCTCATATGAACCCACAGCAATGGTGTCAGCATGTATAAAACCCATGCAGACTCAAGCAGACAAAAACCAAGCACAAAACTGTGGAAATTGTCAGAAGGCCTCGATCTTGGTCGAAGAATTATTGGCAGGTGATTACTGCTGGGTGAGGAAGAGCTGATCTTCTTAAGGGGAGGGAGTCTAGATAAGCTGACTAGACATCAGGGGGTAAACTTGCATTGAGGGACATCTGGGGACACTAACTGGACATGATAGGCCTTATACAAATGACAGAATGTATGAATTCCTGTGGGGTTCTTGGGGAAGGAGGTATAAAGATGACTAAGATGTTCTGTATGAAATATACAAAAATTCAATAAAAAATTTAAAAAATAAAATGTCTCTAAGATGGCACAGGACAGTTTTCTTACACTGACGGGCTTCTTCTCTTTGTAGAATTTGGCTATACGTATCCATCTTTGTATAAAAACTGAGGAATGAGGAGTTAACACTCATAACCCAGCACTATTTTACTCTTCATTCATAAAATGTTTGTGGGCATTTCACTGGTGAGCACTGTGACCTCTGGCTTCCTGGATGAGTGCTTCTTGGAGCATGCATCACTTCTCAGCTATGCTGGCTGGAAGGCCAGTGGCATGGTTCCCGATTTCTGCACACTGTTGATTACTGGGTATAGAATTCAGGGTTTCCACCCTTCTGTGTCTAGCTTAGGCTCAACATTAATTTATAAAGCATATTATGCCTTACTTTATCAAATGTAGAAATCTATCTCATAACCCATCTTTTGGGTTCCATTTTGAAATTGTACTGAAAGCTTTTTTTTTCTTTTTTTTTAATGTGTATATGTGTATTGCCTGCACGTAGGTAAGTGCACCTGTGTTGTGCAATGCCCGCAGAGGACAGAGAGGGTGTCAGATCCCCTGGAACTGGAGTTACAGACAGTTATTAGCTGCCATGTGGGTGCTGGGATTCAAACCCGGGTCTTCTCTAAGAGCAGTCAGTGTTCTTAACCACTGAGCTATCTCTCCAGCCCTGAAAGCTTTGTTTTTAGACAAACTGATAAGATATTGGACACCCCCATCATATCCTCTATTTATCATTAAAAAAAAAAGATGCTGTAATAGGGAGACAGATGCTTCCTAAGAGCAAGGGTCAGCTTTTGACATGACTTCAGTGACCTGATTGGACCTGGAAGTATGAACTTACTTAAAGGGAGAAAACAGGAGATAGAAAATGAAAAGCAGCTCACAAATTTGTGATCATTTCATTGATTAAGCCTTTCATCTGGGGAAATCCGATTTGTTTTATTAGCTATATTGATTTGTGACATTTTTTGGTATCATTTAGGTTTAAAGAGTTTAAGATTCCTCCTCTAAAACTGCTTGAGTCTCAGTTCTAAGCAGTTGGTAAAATTCTAAACTATGTGATGAGCTAGTGTGTTCATACGATCAACAGCATGGCCTGTCTTCCATCCTTTTACATAAAAAATACTCCACTTGATGTAATGGTAATGCTAAAATGCTACCTAATGTGTAATGAAATGAATACTCACCATGTTCCAGAGACTGCTTAATGTTTCTCTAAGAATTATACACATTTAAACCCAATAACCCAATGTCAGTGTATTAGTCCCATAAAAGTGAGGGTATAGCAAAGTATACTAACTTGTTTGAGGACACATGGGTACTGTGTGAATAAAGTCATGGTTACTAGGAGTTCTAGGGTCAGAGAGATAGCTCAATGGGCAAAGGTGCTTGCTGCCAAGTTTTGACAACCTAGGTTTGGTTTTTGGACCCACATAGTAGAAAGAGAACCAACTCCTGAAAGCTGTCCCCTATTTCTGACTTCCATACATACACTATAGCATTTGTGTGCCCCCCTCCTCCCCTTCCACTAGATTGAAAAAATAGTAATAATGACCCAAGAGGTTTGATTCTAAGCATCAGTAATCCCTAGCTTATGCCTTCTCTTATACTTTTTTTTTTTTTATCTTTCCTCAGACTGGACTGGAATATCCAAGTACAGAAATCAGAATCTGTACCTTAAGCTTATGTTCCTCTAGGGCTTGTGAACTAGAACTACAACCTAGTTTAGCATTAAAATACCATATCTCCTGTTGTCTGAGATCCTCATCTAGAATCTTCTATATTACCAAGCCAGTGATTTATTATTATATTAATAATTTGTTGCTTCATGAAGAAAACAAATTATAGAATTTAGCTTTTTTGCATTTATTAATTTTTTGTCTTTGTTCTAATAAAAGATCCAGCACACCCTTTACTCATAAAATTCCACAATACTTTCCTCTAATCTTAAAAAGGAATTTTTCACTCTTTTCTAAAGGAAGTGCTCTCAGGTCTTGTGCCTGGTTGCTTTGTTGGGTGCCACTTGGCATTAACAGGTGACCCCAGCTCTGACTTGTTGAGATCATCTTAAGCATACTACAAAAGCAAAGTCTCGGGGATGGAGAGATAGCTCAGCAGTTAGCTCAGCTCAGTACTGACTGCTCTTGCAGAGGACCTGGGTTCGATTCCCAGCACCCACATGATGGCTAACAACTGTCTGTAACTCCAGTTCCAGGAGGATCTGGCATCTTCTTCTGACCTCCATGGGCACTGCATGACATGGGTGAAATTACGTACATGCAGGCAATACATTCATACACATAAGATAAAAATAATAAATAAATAAATAAATAAATAAATAAATATTGTTCTAAAAAGAGCACTGGCTGTTCTTGCAGAAGACATGGGTTCAGTTCCTAACATCCACATGGTGGCTAACAACCATCATTAATTACAGTTCCAGGGAATCTGATGCCCTCTTCAGACTTCTGCAGACATTGCATACATACATAGGTACACTTACATACATGCAGGCAAAACACTCATACATGAAAAATAAAAATAAAACAAATCACACTGTTTTCTTTTTTTAATTATTTAATAACCACATAGTTAGAAGAAGCATTTCATTCCAACAGCATTGACATATTCAATAAAATTTCCAGAGCTAAGATGCATCTCTTTCAAAATTGGCTGTGAATTTTAGTTTACAGTTGAATTAATACAGTTATACAATATTGAACTCAGTATAAACCCTGTAAGATATAAAATTATAAACCCTATAAGTATAAACCCTGTAAGACATAAAATTAAATGAGGTTTTAACCTTTAAAAAAGATCTCCAATTCATTATTAAAATACATAGTTTCATGCAGAAAAATTCATTTTTAATGCAATTGACACTAAGATGTTTGCAAATGTGTTTCTAATCTCCATATATCTGATTAATACTAGTCACACTCGGTTACTTTCTGAGTTCCTTGGCATCTGAGCATGGATTTAAAGTCATCAGGTAGATTTCAATGGTAATGTATTGCACATCTACTATTTATTAAGGAGCAAATTTTTATGCTTTGAAGAATTATCATTATTATTTTTTTTAAATTTAATAACCACATGATTAGAAGAAGCATTTCATTACAGCTTTAACATATTCAGTAACACACTCCAGAGCAAGTGTACATCTCTTTCAAAAGTGGTCATAAAATTTTTAGGTTTGCTGTTGAATTAATACAGTTATACAATATTGAACTCACTATAAACCCTGTAAGATATAAAATTGAATGAGTTTGTACCCTTTAAAGAAGATCTCAATTTCATTTTAAAATATGCTGTTTCCTACATTTTTATATTATTTTTTTATTTTTTTAGAAGAAGCATATTATTACAGCTTTAATATGCTCAATAAAGATACAGCTCTTTCAAAAGAGGCTATAAAATTTTTAGGTTCACTGTTGAATTAATACAGTTATACAATATTGAACTCAGTATAAGCCCTGTAAGACATAACAATGAATGAGTTTTTATTTCCAGAGCAAAGATATATCTCTTTCAAAAGTGGCTGTAAATTTTTAGGTTCACTGTTGAATTAATACAGTTATACAACATTGAACTCAGTATAAGACCTGAAAGACATAAAATTGAATGAGTTTTTAACCTTTAAAAAAAGATCTACATTTCATTTTAAAATATACTGTTTCTTACAGAAAGACTCATTGTTTTTGCTACTAACACTGAGATGTTGGTGAATGGTTTATCACCTCTACTAATTAACATGATATACATTTTTATGCTTCCTTCTCAAATATAATACATTTTTAAAACTTTCTTGATTTTTTTTGTGTATAGCACACAGAACATCACAAACCATCATATTCAACAAATACACCCTTTTAATTTGTGGATTTTTTTGTGTGTTTGTGTATATCACACAGAATATCCCAAATCATTTTATTAAACTATACACCCACTTCCCAGATGGCACCATCCCATAGCCTCCCTCCCCCCAATAGAGTCCTTATACTCTTTTATCCCTGCTAATGTCTGCTGTGTGGATGGCACCCCCAGCCATTCCTCACCCTCCCATAACCTCCCTCCCCCCACTAGAGCCCTTATACTCTGCTATCCATGCTACTGTCTGCTGTGTGGTCAGCACCCCCAGCCGTTCTCCATTACTTGTCCATTTGGTGAATCTAGTCAGCCTATCTAAGGTCTTTGTTTTAGGAAGGTCAGCTGTTCCTCATCTAGCAGCAATCAGATTTCAATATTCCTTTACTGTTACTATCTGGGAGTCCCTTGGGCCACCCTGGCCAACAACTCAAAAGAAGGTATCTCCTATCTGGCATTTTTGCTTGTTGTTATGTACCCTTTAGCTATGCATATGGACTCTTAAAAATTATATTGACTCCTTTAATCTTTGGTTATACTTTCTCTTTTGGGTGTTTAAGACCATACAGTTGGCCCAGATAAACCAATTTACTTTACTCTTAAGATCATTTGAGGATCTATCCCTCAGGGGTTACATGGGCTTGGGAGGAGACCCTGGCTCCTTTCTTTTACCAGTTCCATCTATGTGAAGATAAGTCAAAGGTCCTGCTCGACCATGGCTGGCTTCGCTTGGAACCATGGAGGAAATATTTCCTCTGTGTTGACCCTCCTCTTTGTAGACTGGACACTGGTTCAAGTCCATCTCATGGGGTCTCCTCGGCCTCCTTGATCAAGAGGACAGGTGACCCACTACAATTACAGGACATTTTGGGAGATGCTCATAGTCCCCTGCAACTAGTCGACCTAGGGGGGGCAAAAGCTGTCCTTTATGTCCCTCTGACAAAAGTAGTATAGGCCTCAAAGTATGTCTGTTAAACATCCAAGAAGGTTAGTTCCACCAGTCTGGTACTTTTAATTGCTGTGTGCCATGTAGATAAATCTTGGGCAAATACCAATTGTTATCAGATAAACCTTACCTAGACATATAATTCTTGATCTGATATGTAAAATTGGTCAGTAGGCTGGAATAATATGGTTCCCTCTGGTTTTCAAAACTACCTAGGCATTATTTATCTCTTTCATTGTCTCATACCTCCATCATGGTTTTCCTACTTAAGGTGCCCCCATTTCCCCACTTTCTCCCTTAATAATACCCTTCTCCTATGGTCCTACCTCTCTTGATCTCCTTCTTTCCCTTGGTACTCTAGGTTCCTTGTATACCCTTCCCTCCCCCCTCCCTTAAACTAACCCAATTTTATCCATATCTCCCCTGTTAAGGCCTGTTTCCCTTATTAACACCTGTTTCCTACTGTTCTTCTCTTTCAGGTTCTTTTCCTTGATCTCCCCGGTTCATTTTCATTTACCCATGAAGGTTAGTTCTACCAGTCTGGTATTTTTAATTACTGTGTGTCATTTGATAAATCTTGGGCAAATACTCACTTATCAGGATTTAGTTCTAGGATCCACATATGAGGGAGAACATATGTCGATTTTTTTTCTGAGTCTATGTTATTTCACTTAGTATTACAGTCTCTAGTTCCATCCATTTACCTGCTTTTCAAAACTAGCTAGGCATTGTTTATCTCTCGCATTGTCTCACCTCTCCATTATGGTTTTCCCACTTAATGTGCCCCCTATGTCCCCCATTCTCCCTTACTAATACCTTTCTCCTATTGTCCTACCTCTCTTGAGCTCCTTCTTTCCCATTATCCCCTTGGTTCCTTGTATACCCTTCCCTCCCCCCTCCCTTAAACTAACCCAATTTTTATCCATATCTCCTTTATTAAGGCCTGTTTCCTACTGTTCTTCTCTTTCCAGTTATTTCTTTTCCTTTACCTCCCTGTTTCCCTTCCATTATCCTGGTTCCTCTAATTACGTGTGGTTGCACACTTACACTGTGGGTGGTGCCACCCCTGGGTAGGTGGGCCTGTGTTACATAAGAAAGCAGGCTGAGCAGGGGCGAGGGGAGCAAGTCAGTAAGCAATGTTCCTCCATGTGTGTTACTTTATTTAGTATAACAGTTTCTAGTTCCATCCATTTACCTGCAATTTTCATGTTTTCATCTTTCTTACTGCTGAGTAAAACTCCATCGGATGAACTGTGACCTGGGAGATGTAAGTTGAATAAACCCTTTCCTCCCCAAGCTGGTAGTAGTCAGAGTATTTTGTCACAGCAATGAAGAGACAAACTAGAACAGATGTACAAGTGTCTCTGCAATAGTATGAGTTATTTGGGTATATGCCAAGGAGTGGTATAACTGGGTCAAATGGTAGGTTCATTTGTAGTTTTTAAAGAGTTCTCCACACTGCTTTCCATAGGGGTTGAAGAAGTTTGCAGCCCTACCAGCAGTGGATGAGTGTTCCCCTTTCCCCACATCCTCTCCAACATTTGGTATCATTTCTTCTCTTTGTGGTTGCCGGCTGTGGCTGCTCTCCTCCAGCTATGGCCACTCTCCTGCTCTCTTAGTTCCTCTGATCAGTTGTCTGGTCCAGAGCCCTGGGTTGGTGAGGAGTCTGTGCCAGTGTCGCCACATTCATGTGCAGGAAACCAGGTTCAGTGACACAGATCTGCTTTATTGCAAGAAAGTATGGGCTTATATAAGGGTAATAGTCCAATCATAACACAGCATATGGGATACCTATTAGCATGGCAAACTAGTATCCTATTACACTCTAGCGGGCCAGATGCCCTATTAGCATGATAAGTTTCAGTTTCTAAACAGGAAGCAATGCATTCCAGCATGATAGGTATGTAAGGCAAAAGGAAAAATCAGTCACAAGATTTTCCACACCTCTTGATCTTAGCCAGTGTGACTGGGGTAATATGAAATCTTAAAGTGGTTTTAAATTGCATTTCCCTAATTATCAGTGATGTTGAACATCTTTTAAGATGCTTCTTAGCCATCTTTACTTCTTCTTTTGAGAACTCTCTGTTCAGCTCCTTAGCCCATCTTTTAATTGGGCTATTTCCTCTCTGGATTGTTTTTTGAGTTCGTTGTATATTCTGGATGTTAATCCTCTGTCAGATGTGTCGCTGGTGAAGATTTTCTCCCATTCTGTGGGTTTCCTCTTAATTTCCCTGGTTGCTGCCTTTGATGTACAGAAGATTTTTAGTTTGATGAGGTCCCATTTGTTGATTCTTGACCTTGTTTCCTGAGCAATTTATGTCAAGTTTAGAAAATCCTTTCCTACACCTATATCTTGTAGATTTTTCCCAATGTTTTCTTCTAACAGTTTCAGAGTTTCAGGCTTTAAATTGAGGTCTTTGATCCATTTGGAATTG